CCCGGTGTTTTGGGCAATATGTTTCTGCTTTGTTTCTGTAAGTCCGGGTCGCTTGAAAGTCGTTTATGGCATCGGATTGGGCAAAAAGTTGCAGAAAACAGCGAAGAAGACGAAGTAGACTGTGCAGACAGCGCCATGGCGCTGCGGGGACAGCATACAGCGCCACGGCGCTGTGCAGCGCAATGACGCCATGCCAGGGCGCTGCGGCGCTTTGCCGGTTGTCTTTCGACGCGGTTCCGAGGCTCCGGTTCGTGGTTCGAGGGCGGATGCAGTCGGTTTTCTTATTTTGTATTATTTCATTTTCTTAGGTTGCCAAAAACCGTTCCAACTTTGCTATTTAATTATTTAATTATTTTATGCATATAGTTTTAAAATCCCACCATAGGTTACATGCATAATATGTATGTTTGATATATAGTATGTATGTATGGTTGATTACGCTTGTTTATATAGAAGTCCTTGAGGATCGATACTTGGATACTCCATCCATTTTATATTACTCTGACAGGTGTGCGCTTGCATCTATAGAATTGTTACCACGCTTAGTGCGTGCGTTCAACATAACCTCAGTCAATGGTCATGCATCATATAGTTGTAAATATTATAATGTATGTATGCATGTTTTAATTTCATAATTAATATAAGTGTTGTATTAATTAGATGAAAATAAAGTTGCATTGAACATGACATTATTTTGGATAATATAATTGTTATATTAATGTATGCTTTCAATGCATGTTTATAGTTCTATTTTGTTAAATTTTATAAGAGTTATAAAATGTGGTAGATAGAAATTAAAATCTATAATAAAGAGTTGCATGCAAACATAAGGTTTAAGTTAATTAATTTTGAAGGGGTTTAAAATTAATTAGACCTTAGGTTATATCTTCTAATGTGATTAGGGGGTAGTCTTTTATTTTATTTTAACTAGGTTTAAAATGAAATAATAAAAGACTAAATATAAAATGTTGTCTATAAGGGAACCCTGTCTAAGGAAGGTTCTGTCTAGGTTGAGGTATTTAAGCTGACCGTAAGGAAACACCTCTACCTGGGAACCGACCTGGGGGTTGAATTAGTCAATATTTTATATACAAGCAATAATGTCATTGGTTTATTAAAGTGTTTAACGAACTAAAACATTATTGTACAACTTCGGATATAATAGTTATATTGGGCCGACTAAAAATTCACTTAGTTAATTTCACTTAGCCGGGATTTATCTAAGTAATTTACCCTAGTCTTAGAATACTAAATGGGAGCAAAAGAGAATATGTAATATACATCGTATATATTTGATATACAAAGTATATATAACATACTTTACTCTCTCTCTCGCGTTCTCCTTTAAATTCAAGCTGTGAGTTCCATGCTCGGCCTTGTGTCGCCCTGGGCGCGGCCTCCCTACGGAAGGTTTTTACATGGTTGAATATCAAGGTGAATGGAGATAGTGTTCATAGTAAGTGGGAGAAGGACGTGTGACAACACATCCTGCGGTCTCCGCCATTGGTTTGCACCGTGAGGTTTCATACATGACCTGCCTGTCGTCCTGGACCGACCATCCCTACGGAGGGTTCATTGTATGGAAATCAAAACGAAGGCAAACTCCAGAAA